ATCATAAAGTAGTCAAACTTCTTTTTCCATGTGTTTACAGCACTTTGAGAAAAAAATTTTAAATTTTTTTAATTGGTTGGCCCATGTAAAATTAACTTCAAAAGAAAAATGATCTGTGTGGTCTAACAAAAATATATGCAGTAAGAAGAATAATAGTTATTCAGACAGCCCTAAGTTTGGATTTTGGCTGTACTGCTTTCTGACTGACTTTTGGCCATTTTCTTGAAAGCCTAAGTTTCCTCATTTATAAAATAATAAAGAAATGCATTTAACACATATAAAGCCTGGCATGTAATAAATATTCAATAAGAGCTAGCACAAAAAGCCAACTAAGATGTACCTGTGTAAAACCTTCATACTTCTAAAAGTATATTCTTGACCCACAGGAATGATTTCAAATATTCTGTGATTACATTGCTTATGTAACTGGAGAAACAGCACTAAAACCATTTATCTGGCATTGATACTTTTCAGAGGGTTTTCACATTTTCTTATAATCATTTGTGAGGTAGGTGGAACATGCAGTATTATCCCAGGTTTTTAGGTAAACAGACCCAAATGCATGACCTTGCTTAAGACCTCACAGCTAATTGGAGACAGGAGCCTAGATTAAAGCCTAAACTCCTGGTTTCTAATTCAGGCCTCAATCTAGTATATCCCTTGGTATCAAACTGTTTCTCACCTGAGTTTTAAATCCTTTCAAAGCCCTCTATAGATTTTTGTAAAAGTCAGGTAATTTTCATATAATCTACACATACAATTAGTTTTTATTAAAAGACATAAAGGGGTCTTGTGTTACAGGGCTATAAAATGAAGCCTTTCCAGGTGGGTTTAGTATTTCCAACCTATCAAATTAGAGATTAAGCCAGTAGTGGTGATAAGAAATCAAATGAGATTACTAACTAGTATCCTAATTTGTTCAGTGAACGAAACCAAAACCAAACTCACTGCTATAGAGTTGGACCCAACTCATAGCAACCCCTCCTTGGGTTTCCAAGGCGGTATCACTACAGAAGTAGATTGCCCAACCTTCCTTCTGAGGAGTGGCAGGTGGATTTGAACTGCCAGCCTTCTGGTTAGCAGTCAAGTGCCTTAGGCACTACCCCACCAGGTATTAAAAGCAATCTAAGTATATGAAAGCAGGAAAATGGATTTAAGGTGAAGATTCGGGAATATGGTTTATTCTCAAAGAATTTGCTACTCTATAGTTTGTAAAATAGGGGAAAATTACAGAATTTTTCTATCTAGATAGTTCTGAAAATAAACAATCAGTGAATACTGGCTTTGATGTTTTTAGTCATACTTGGAAATAACTGTTCTTTGTTATCTCCCCTTATGGGAAACAAATGATAGTAGTTAGAATACTTTTCTCATTTACGTACTCTGAAAGTAATTAGAAAGACACTTATATGGAAACTAACTTCCTAGTTATGATTAAGTAAGGTATAATGTTTTATTCTTTACATCTTACCTATATTAGGACACTCTTTTAGTAGCCAGATGATGTGTCTACACTCTGATATACCCTTGGGTGAAACTAGACCAGACCATCTGACTCAGTGATTTGTAATCTTTAAGACTTGTTAAAACTAATTCTCTGATGTTGGATGTCTATAAATATGTACATGCATTCAGTTATAGCAAAACAGCTGGAATTTTACAAGTGTCTTTCAAGTTTCCAGTTAAACTGGTTATGGACCTATTGAACTACAGTATGGAAATGAGAACATCAAAAGAGCAACTAAGTATTTGGTTTTTTTTAAAGATAATGAATTGTACTGATTCACACTCAAACTCACTGCCATTGAGTCGATTCCTTGGGTTTTTGAGGCAGTATCTCTACAGAAGTAGATTGCCCAGTCTTCCTTCTGAGGAGCGGCTGGTGGGTTTGAACTGCCAGCCTTCTGGTTAGCAATCAAATGCCTTAGGCACTGCGCCACCAGAGCTCCCTGATACACACTAGAACCCATTTTTCAAAGTGGTTCTTAGCTTTTTTGGTGGGTCACAAAACCCTTTGACAATATGGTGGATGCTTTAGATTCAGATCATCCCTTTGAAAATATATACACAAAATTGCACCTGAAATTTCATGGGGCATATGAACTCTAGTTTGAAAGCTTCCTGCTTTAAGAGATCCTAAGTAGTAATGGTAGCATAATGGTTAAAACATTCGCTGCTAATCATAATGTTGGCAGTTCAAGCCCACCAGCTGCTCCTTGGGAGAAAGATGCGGCAGTGTGCTTCTGTAAAGATTTACAGTGTTGGAAGCCCTACGGGGCAGTTCAGCTTTGTCCTGTAGGATTGCTGTGAGTCAAAAACAACTCAACGGCAGAGGGTTTAAGTAGTAATGTGCTTTATTGAATGCATATAACGTAAATGCACAAATGCAAAATGTGCACATTATTCATTAAACTTTTAAATCCCAAATTAACTTAGACCCAAACTATTCCTCTTGTTTTAGTGCTCAAAAGCACTAAAACCGAGCTAAAAGCTAAAAGCACTGTTTGAGGTATTTATGTTTCAGTGGCCTTTTTTCTATCTTTGGATTTTCTTTGATTCTAAATAATTGCAGTTTTGGATGTTACATGTATTCTTAACTTTTTATTTCTACAGATATTTTCTGGCAAGTTTCTATACGAAGTATGATCCAACTCACTTCATCCTAAACACAGCTTCTCTCCTGAGTGTGCTAATTCCCAAAATGCCACAACTACATGGTGTTCGGATCTTTGGAATTAATAAGTACTGAAATGTTTTGAAAACTGAGCAAAAATTTTTACAGCTACTCAGTTCCCTATAAGGAAGGAGTAGTTGGTATACTGCACTGTTTCTATGATAATGTGAAGTAAAAGGTATTTGCATTAAAGGACCAGTTAATGGTTCTTTGTATACTGTTTTGAAGTGCAGATTTTCACTAGAAGATGCTTCTTTAATGCATCTGTTATATTGCTGAAGAGAGGCTTTACAGGAAGGCTGGGCAGGCCTAGCTCCTAAGTTAAATGGCTATACAGTAAGGGTGTATTAGATAAATCCAAGTTAAAAAGAGATCTGTAAAAAACTAGGGCTAGCTTAGTTTATAATGAATGGGCATTATGTTAGGAGAAGAAAATTTCCAATCATTCAGTCATGGTCATTTTAAGCAGGTATACATGTAAACCATAATCATCTCTTTAAAAGTTTATTATAGATTATTTTATTACCATACATATTCCTACCTTCTTGTTTTATACAGGCCAGGTTCGACCTTGTTTTATGAGTTTATTTTTGTAGTTTTGTTGGCTCAACATTTTGCATTGATAGATGAAGTCATTTTTACATTTATTAAGTTACTGAGCTCATGAAGGTCCACCTTCATGACTGATTGGTGATAGAAGATAGCCAGGTATCTTATAAATAGCTTCTGAGTCAGACTTCTAATTTTGGAACAAACTAGGTTTTGTTGCTTTTATAGACAGGAAACCAATTAAGAAGGTAATTTATTTCAAGCAGTTACAGTATATAGTAATTTAAAATTCTCTGCTTATTGGTTGAGCAACTTGTTAAAATCCGCCATTCTTTAGGAAAAAATGCAACATGGACAGCTATATAGCCAACCTGTGATCTGGCAGAAACTGCTTCTCTAGCTTTAGTACCAAAGTAAATAAGGGAACCTTTTTTTAGCTGGTCTGCAGTAAAAGATAACATCATTTTTTCTTAGTCCCCGTACTTTCAACCTCCATGTTTTGCCCATTAATATTTTTGCCTTTTAATAACGTGAATATTAATATAGATAACCCTAAATGATTCAAAGCCCTAACCATATTGAAATTCTTGTGATGTGGGGATACTTCCTAAAGTTGTTGACTTGAATTAGAAGAAATAATTATATATTACTTTGAGAAGTGAACGTGTGTAAAAAAGAAAACGGTTCTGATATGGGATGAAACTGAAAAACTCGGTAATATTTATAATCAAAATTAAAGGAATAGAGTTCTAAAACAACAATCAGTTTGTTTCAATAAAGTGACTTTCAGTGGGTAATGATCACTGTTTTGTATTTCAAAAATATTGAGTTTAGAAATCAGTTGTATGATTCTACCTTTGTATGTTTGTCTTTATGTATTTTTAAATAACTGGTAATCTATACTTTAATAAAAATGTTTTCCTTGGTGTCAGATTATTTCAAAAGCTCTCCAAATTCAGTCATTAAAATTACACTTATTTTTTCAAGCTATTTTTAAGCAAATGAATTTGTACAATTAAGATAACTAAAAACATTCCTTTGTCTTTCTTCATTTTAAAGCTTAAATATCTCAGAAGGCTTACATCTTTTGTACAGACCAGAGAGAGAAATCTGCCTGATTCAGGCTGCCTTCTCCTACTTTCCCTGCTTTCCCCCCTCAATATTTTAAAAATATTTTTTTAATAGATATTTGAGAGTGACCCCTTGTGCAGAGTGGTACTGCACCATAGGGTTTTCAGGGCTGACCTTTCAGAAGCAGATGACCAACCCTTATTTCTCAGGCACCTCTGGGTGGTTTTGAACTGCCAGCCTTTCAGTTAGCGGTCTAGTGCTTGAACATTTGCACCACCCAGAGAGTCAGAGTTGACTGAGCAGTCACTAACAACAACTTTGTACTGGGTATTGTGTGTAGATAGTGTGTAAACAGGACAGACCAAGTCCCTCCCCTTATATTCTTAAATTCTAGTTTGAGAACAGATTAATAAATGAATAAAATACATGCTTCATGATGTGATAAATGCCATGCTCCACTACTTCTCACTGCTGTCAAGTCGGATCCGACTCATAACCACCTCTCCCTGGGTTTCCAAGGCAGTATCACTACGGAAGTAGATTGCCCCATCTTCCCTCCAAGGAGTGGCTGGTGGGTTTGAACTGCCAGCCTTCTGGTTAGCAGTCAAATGCCTTGGGCACTGTGCCACCAGAGCTCCCGATAAATGCCATAGGGAATAAAAAATAAGCAGATAAAAGAGAAACTTTCAGAAGGGTCTTGCCTAGAGATCCTAACTGAGAAGGTGATATTTGAGCATAGACCTTACTGGCATAAAGGAGCAAAGAGTGTAGCAATCTGGGGAAAGTGCATTCTCAGTAGAAGTAATGGCAGATAATAAGACTGAAGCAGGAATGAGGATGGTGTGTTTGAGAGGAAGAATAAGATAACCACGGGGACTAGAACAAGCGAGGAGGACGATGGTGGCAAGTGAGGTCAGAGAAATAGACAGGGGCCAGATCATGTAGACCTTTGTAGACCAAGTTAAAGAGTGGATTTTATTCTAACTATGACAAAGCCATTGGAGAGTTAATACAAGTGATTAAAGGTTTTGGTTTTTTTTTTTAAAGTCACTGGATACTGTTGAGAATAAACTTTAGTGGGTTAGGGAGAAGGAAAAATAGGAAACTAGTGCAGGCAGGAAATGATGGTAGTTAAGACTAACTAGGTAAGTAGTGGATGAATTGGTGAGCGGGTCAGATTTGGTGTATGTTTTGCAGGCCAGGCCAGAAAATGCTGACTTGCAGGTTACTGAAACTGATCCAGAGGCCTTGTCCATGAAATGAGGACAGTACTTACCTCATAGTGTTATTGTGAGGATTATTGTGGGTGAAATAGGTACAATGGTGCCTGGGTACATTGTTGGGTGCCCTCAAGTTGCTTCTGATTCATGGTGATGTTATGTACTACAGAATGAAACACTGCCTGCTCTTGGGCCCTCCTCACAATCACTGTGATGTTTGAGCCCATTGTTGCTGCCACTGGGTCAATCCATCTAGTTGACGGTCTTTCTCTTTTTTTGCTGACCCTTTGCCAAGCATGATATCCTCCAAGGACTGGTTGGTTCTAACAGCATGACCAAAGTCCAAGAAGTGAAGTCTTGCCATTCTTGCTTCTAAGGAGCATTCTGGTTGTACTGAATCCAAGACGTTTGTTGTCCATTTATTATTATAACAAAATTTTCTAAAAAACTAGATTTCAACAAAAACGTTTCTGGTCATTATGAATTTGAGTATGTGTATCTACCATTATGCTATAACTCTGACTTCCAGAAGTATTATTTACTCATTTTTTTGTGCCCAAAGTGTCACACAATATGCCAGGCAAGTCTATCCTTGCATTACATAATCTTTGCTTATTAAAACCTTACAGGCTACCATAGGTGAAGAAAGATTCTTGGGACAAATCCATTTGAATATTAACAAGTTCACATAATAAAAGCAAAAAACAGCAATAACAACAAAATAGGCTGACGAACGTGCAAGAGCATGAGTACATACTTTGGTGAAAATTGCATATATACTTAGCAACCAAGGACCATGTAATGTGTTATGTCATATATATATATATATTCTGCTAGCGTAGTGCCTAAGGCACTTGACTGTTAACCAGAAGGCTGGTGGTTCAAACCCACTCCTCAGAAGGAAGATGGGGCAATCTACTTCCCCAGTGATACTGCCTCAGAAACCCAAAGAGGGGTCGCTATCTCACAGCACATAACAACAACATATATGTGTGTGTGTATATGTATATATATGTGTATATATATATATATATATATATATACACACACACACATATACATATACATATACACACACATACATATATATAATTTTTTTTTTAGGTTAAGTGAATTTTTGCCCTCCCCCCTCTTTTCTGTTCATTGCAAAAATAAGTCAGCCCCAGACTATATTCCCAGTGAAGAGGTAGTAACGGTTTAGATTATATGAAAGAAAGCTCTTCCGTTCTCTGCAAACACTGTACAAGCCCTTGGAGGAGTTCCTAGTTTCCATACTATTTCTACGAAAAATACTAGGTATCACAGGTCACAACTTCTTTTTTGGTGATTAAACCCCCCAAAATGGTAAGACGAGTAATTTACTGCACCCTCTTCTCACAGTGGCACTCGAAATGCAGCCAAAGGGGGGGTGGGGAAAAATGTAGCGAAGTGTTTAGAACTTAATTCAGACAAACCAGTGTTCGCCCTCCGCTGACCGCTTATTAGCTGTGTGGCCCTGTAGAAGTCTCGTTAAGTAGGAATCTGAGAGAAACGCACCAACACATGCACAGAGTCTGTGACAAAGGAAACCCTTTCATTTTCAGTCACTCTGAGGTAGCGTTCCACTTTCTAGGGCAGTATGGGCCTTCCCCCGGCAGTCCGAACGCTCGCACTACGTAGATGACGTCACTTCCCGAGCGTCCCGGGCTTTGTCTGGCAGTAAGAAAGGGCGATGGGCTCTGTTTACTAGGGAAAGACGAACAGCAGTTTCTGCGGCTTACTAGGAAGGTGGGTGGAATTGCTCACCCTCTCTTTACCGATGCTTTCGCACGCCTAGAAAAGCAGTTCGCGTCTGAGTGCCTCGTCTTCTTAGAGGGGGCAGAGACCATAGCTGCCAAAGTCCTTTGAATTTACTCAGGAGGCTTTTTGGCCCGAAATGCTTAGCAGAAACCACTTCAACCAGGCTAGCGTGTAGTCCTGCTGAGGTTTGGTGATGCAGTCTAATTATTTTTTTGCAGTGTGTCTGCGCTGCACTGCTCTCAGCTGCCTCTGCCAGTAACTTGCTCGCGCGTCTCTAATCCAAGCGTGCCCTCTGTCCCAGCGGACTGGTCCATATTCTTCGCTCTTCTTTGAACCTCGTAAATTTTTCATTAGTGTTACAGCCAAAGGACCTAACTTAACCATCCAGGAAAGTTCTAGGATGGGTGATTTTGGGGGCATGAAATTAGTTACTTAGCAATCTGCAAACACTAGGGCACTTTAGTGATGGGTTGCTTTTAATTACAGTACCTAGGAAAATACTATTTGGAAAAATCCTTGTTATGATAAACCTCTATAGTAATTGAGGTTTCATTGGGAAGATTGTAATTAGTGTATAAAATAAACATTAAGTTGCAGTCCTTTTAGACGACTTAAGACTTGTTTTATGAGAATGCTTGTTCCTAAACTACACTACATATTGTTTTGTGTTTCATCTGAACACTGTTGTTTTTGAACCAGATGATTAAATTTTATTTTGAAAGATGTTTCCAGAAAAGGAGATGCATTTATTTCTATCTGTTTTGTTTTGACTCTGTTGTTTGATTTATCAAAAACTACATTTAGCCTTAATTTTAGCTATCAAAAAAATAACACTTTCTAGAGGACAATACATACAGTGGTCACACTGTAATAGTAACTTTTATATAAAAGTGTAATGAATAGTTTGATAAGAACAGCATGAAAGTAATAGTAATAAACACTAAAAAAGAAATATTACATGCTACTTCCCTCTTTGCCTTCTTAAAGAGCATTCTAGTCATTCATATTACTTATATTCACAGACATGCTACTTTCAAAAAAAATTACTAATTTTATAAACTTTCCTATAATATAAAACTATATAAACTACAGATTGAAAAATAAACTAAGTTTTTAGAATTTTGCTAAACTGAATAGGTGGCTAGTAAACAGATAGTTGTTTGTACCTAATGTCACTTCCAGATAGTAAATTGTTTCTATGATTCTTTTCCAGGAATTATCTATAAAAATAAATATGATATTATTGAATAAGACAGCAGGAGTGTTTCCTAAATCATCAAAAAGGAAAATTTATGAATTTTTAAGGAGTTTTACTTTTCATCCCAGAAAACTGTTTCTTCATAAAGTAGTATTGGGAATTGAAACCAGTTGTGATGATACAGCAGCTGCTGTGGTGGATGACAATGGACATGTGTTAGGAGAAGCAATACATTCCCAAACTGAAGTTCATTTAAAGTAAGTAGACATTACCTTGGAGCCCTGTTGGGGTCGTGGTAGTAGTTAAATGCTTGGCTACTAACTGAAAGGATGGCAGTTTGAACCTTCCAAGCTGCCTACAGAAAAAAGATGTGGCAGTCTGCTTCCTTAAAGATTGACAGCCTTGGAAATTCTATGGGCAGCTCTACTCTGTGTGAGTCAGAATTGACTCAATGGCAGTGAGTTAGGTTTGGTTAGACATTATTGTATTTCCACTTTTTTTGCAAAGTAAAATGAAATAGTTACTTGTCATGTTGTGAGATGCTGTCGAGTGGGTTCTGACTCATGGCAACTTCATGCACAACGGAATGAGACACTGCCACGTCCTGTGCCGTCCGCACAATTGTTGCTGTGCTTGAGCCCATTGTGGCAGCCACTGTGTCAGTGCCTCTTGCTGAGGGTCTTCGCCCTTTTCACTGGCTGTCTCCTTGAGCAAGCATGGTGTCCTTCTCTAGGAACTGGTCCTGCCTGACAGGATGGCCATTGTACAAGAGGCAGAGTCTTGCCATCCTTGCTTCTAAGGGGCATTCTGGCTATCCTTCATCTAAGGTAGATTTGTTTATTCTGGCAGTCTGTGGTATAGTCAATATTTGCCAACCCCATAATTCAAATGGATCAGTTCTTCTGTTCTTCTTCAGGCTTCCTTATTCACTGTCCAGCTTTCACATGGGTATGAGGTGGTTGAAAATACCCTGGCTTGGGTCAGGCACACCTTAGTCTTCAAAGTGACATCTTTGCTTGTTAACACTTTAAAGAGGTCTTGCAGCAGATTTGCCCAATGCAATATGTCATTTGATTTCTTGTCATATATAAAAGTTAAATTTTAAAAACATATTTCTTTCATAGATAGCATTCCAATAACTGCTATAGGACAACCTCAAACCTCTAAGCCTGACTTTTAAGGCTATCTACAATAAGGTCCCTAATCCTATTGCCAAAAAGATTTTGCTAATCCTGCTACCAAAGACCAGTACTCATCTGTCTGTCTGTCGTATTGTGGTGGCTTGCAGGTTGCTGTGGTGCTGGAAGCTATGTCACTGGTATTTCAGATACCAGCAGAGACATCTATGACTGACAGGTTTCAGCGGAGCTTCCAGACTAAGCGAATAGATGGAAGGAGCTTGCAATCTGTTCTTTGAAGAATTGGCCAGTGGAAATCTTATGAATAGCAGTGGAACACTGTCTGATATAGTGCCAGAAGATGAGCCACAACTGTTCACATTTATACATGTAACTAGTGTTAGTACCTATGTAAATAATAGCATATTGTTTGAAGCATAGAGTTTATAAACTCATTTACAGAGACCAGCTAGGCATGAGTAGTCTGGATATAAAGTGGAAAACGCCTAAAGAAGGTTACTTCTAAACTCCAGCTGATTGTTGCCGTGCATGAATGTAGCCCCTACGTTATTATATCATTAGAATTTTCAAGAGAAAATGGAAATCAGATTTGTAAGTGTGATATCTTTGAATTTTTTTAATTAGTAGGTTATTCATAATGTTCTAAAATACACTGAAGATCAGATATGCCTTGTTGTTGTTAGGTGCCATCAAGTTGGCTCCAACTCGTGGTGACCTTGCGTAAAACAGAATGAAACACTGCCCAGTCCTGCACCATCCTCACATCCCTTGCTATGCTTGTGCCCATCGTTGAAGCCACGGTGTCAATCCATCTTATTGAAGGTCTTCCTCTTTTTTGCTGACCCTCTACTTTACCGAGCATGATAATCTTCTCCAGGAACTGGTCCCTTCTGACAATATGACCAAAGTAGATGAGATCAAGTCTGGCCATTTTTGCTTCTAAGACACATTCTTGCTGCATTTCTTCCAGGAGGTTTGTTCTTCTGGCAGTCCATGGTACTTAACAGTGTTTCCCAGTACCACAGTTCAAATGCATTGATTCTTCTATGGTCCTCCTTATTCATTGTCCAGTTTTCACAGGCATGTGAGGCTATTGAAAATACCAGGGTTTGGATCAGGCCCACATTAATCTTCAAAGTGATATCTTTACTCTTTAACATTTTAAAGAGGTCCCTTGCAGCAGATTTGCTCAGTGCAATAGGACGTGTAATTTCTTGACTGCTGCTTCCATGGGTATTGATTGTGCATCCAAGTAAAATGAAATCTTTGACAATTGCAATCTTTTCTCCATTTATCATGATGTTGCTTATTGGTCCAGTTGTGAGTATTTTTGTTTTCCTTATGTTGAGGTATAGGAGCTCAGGTGTCATAGTACCTAAGGCAATTGACTGCTAACAAGAAGGCTGGCAATTCAAACCCACCAGCCACTCCTCTGAAGGAAGGTTGGGCAATCCACTTCCATATACATCCCACCTCAGAAACCCAAGGAAGGGTCGCTATGAGTCAGATCTGATTCGATGGCCATGAGTTTTTTGAGTTATGTTGAGGTATAATCCATACTGAAGAGTGCAGTATTTTATCTTCATCAGTCAGTGCTTCAAGGCATCTTCACTTTCAGCCATCAATTTACAACATTTGAGTAGTGCAAAAGCCTGACAATTTGAAATCACAGGCCTGTATTTGGATCCTGAGTCAGGCCCTAGTATTGGCCTTGCAACTTTAAGGACGTTCTTTATCCTTTCTGATTTTGTTTTTACATAGTAAAATGGAAAAGATAATACCTGCTTCTAAGATTATGAGAGATATCAGAAATAATATATGGGAAGAGGCAGAGTAGGCCTCAAGTGGTAGAATGCCATGTGGAAGGAACCGTGGAGGTGTTAGTAAGGTGCAATGAAATGCTAGGAAGTCCTTGCCTTCAGGAAGCTTAAGCTAATTGCTCAGACGTGGTATGCAGACCCACCAGAAGAGTTAACAGTGCAAGGCACTGTAAATTCAGTATAAAACAAGTGTGTAAGCAACTGTTATTACCATGTCTCACCTCCTCAGTTTTCACCAGTATTAGATTTTTAATGTGTAAATGTTAACTGTACAGAAAGGCCTACTCTGATGACTTTATCTAAATTCAGTATTCCAGCCTACTTATTTTTTATCACTGTATTTTACTTGTTTTCTTCATAGTTCTTTTAACAATTTATAATTACATATTTATTTACTTAAGTAAAAATATTTTCCTCAAAAGGCTAAGCTCCATGGTGGCAGGGTCTGTATCTGTCTTATTTACTACACTATGCCTAGTGCTTGGCTTAGCCATCTGTATTATCAAGATGCTTTGTGGCCTTGAAAGATGGTTAGGCCTTCAGTGAAGGAAGACAGAAAGGATATTGTAGCCTGAGTGAGCATTGTCAGCAAAAAGAAGTGCAAAATTATGAGACAAATACTCAGTTTAGCTTAAGTAGGCCAGTTCAGGGAATACTGGCTTCAATGGTACCATCTGCACGCTCAACTTGAATACTTGCAATCAGCAAGGCAGTATTTGATGCTCTGTGGTACAAAGATGTATAAGATATATAATCTTTGCCTCTGAGCAGCTCATTGTTTAAAGTGGTTAAGATTGTAGTTTTGTATCCTTTTTCTGCCACTTACTAGTCTTTTTTTAATGCATTTTATTGAAATTTATGTATGAAATATACAAACTAAAGTGACATGAGTCAATGCTTTTTTTTTTTGCAGCGTTCCCTCCCCTCCTCTCTCACCCCTGGTAACCAACAAATACAGTTCCTTTCCAAATATAAACCTTTCCTTGACTTTTTACAATAATAAACTAATACTATATTTGTCCTGTGATTGAATCATGTTATCACATCCTTTGTTGCTTTTGTTTTAGTATTTACTAAATATTTGTGCTGGTCCTCTTTCTTTATTTTGATGTGAAGGTTTATCAGTTTTCTTTGAAGTTATTCTGTGATTTATAATTTCTATGCAAGTTTAGAACAGTTTGTTCTATCTTGTAGTTGTCTTGACTTCCTTACCATTTAGAAGTTCGGTAACTACACAGTTTTATCCCTCTTTTTGGTTTGTAGTCATCTTCATTTGTCAATCGATGTCTCTTGTTCCCTGGTTACAATCTTGTAGGCTTATTTACTTTGGATACGTCTATAACTGGGTTGGTTTCTGGGTTATGTCATCATGTGTGTTAATGGTCAGTTGTTGTTTGCTGTTGTTGGTTCTCTGTCCAAAGGGCTCCCTTTAACATCTCTCATAAGCTTGGTCTGGTTTTAACAAATTCCCTTAATTTCTGCTTATCTAGAAATGTCCTAATTTCACTGTCATATTTGAGGGACAGTTTTGACAGGTATATAATTCTCAGTTGGAAATTTTTCTCTTTCAGGGCTTTATATATACCATCCCATTGTCTTCTCATCTGCATGGTTTCTGCTGAGAAATCCAAGCTTGTTCTTGTTGGTTCCCCCATGTAGGTAACTTTTCGTTTTTCCTATGCTGCTTTCAGGATTCTTTCTTTGTGTTTGGTTTTGGTGAGTTTGATGATGACATGTCTTGGTGATTTTCTTTTGGTGTCTATCCTGTTTGGGGTTCATTGGACTTCTTGAATAGATATATTCTCATCTTTCATCATACCAGGAAAATTTTCTTCCAACAACTCTTTGACATTTTTTTTCTGTGGTGTTGTCTCCTTCTGTTCTGAAATTCCAGTGACATGTAGGTTATTGCTTTTGATGGTATCCCACATGAACCTTAGGCTTTCTTCATTTTGTTTTGATCTTTGATCTGATTGTTCCCTTTCCAAAAAAGCATTGAGGTATTTGCCTTCAATCTCACTAATTCTGTCTTCCATTGATTCAATTCTACTCCTTTGCCTGTTCAATGTGTTATCCACTTCTAAAAATTTAGTATTAATCTTCTGGATTTCTGTGTGTAGATTTTGTATCATTTCTAATTTTTCATTTATTTTGTCATTTTGTTCTTGTATTGTCTTTCGAAGCTGTTCTAGGGTTTTCTCTCTGCTTTACTCTATTTTGTCAGTGTTTTCCTTGATCTGTCTCTCAATTCACTAAAGGTACCTAAGTATAATTCTTTTCAATTCCTTATCAGGGAGTGCCAATGCTGCATATTCTTCAAGGATGAGTTTTGGGTCTGTATCTTGGGCCCTTGTTTCTCCTGCTTTATCTTGCTTCTTTGTGTTCATTGTGATGCTCTGTTGTCTCCAAGACATTGTGAGATTTTTGTGTTTATATGTAATTGATGATTGTATGTTGGAGTGACTTGCCCATGATTTTCTTTTTCTTTGTTTCTTTTGTATGTTGTCTGCATAACTAGGGTACTGTGCTGTGCTCCTCTATTCATTAGTTGGCAGCACTTATACACTCATCGCCTGTCTCCTTTCCACCTGTCTGTCTCCTGTATGTCCCTGCCGTCGTTGGCACATGGAGCTTAGGTCCTGTTTTTGTTCAGGTTTTTCCACTAGTTGGTGCCTAGTCCACTTCTGTATACCTCCCTTCAAAGATCAGGGCTCCAGGATTATCCCCTGTATCTCTGTCAGTTGGTTTCTCTTTTCTTTGTTGAAGAGCTTGTCTGCCTATTCCTGCATCTTACCGGAAGTTCCAGTTGCCACTTACTAGTTTGAGACCTTGAACAATTTTTTGTGGCTCAGTTTTCTCATCTGTAAAAGGGGATATTGCAACTAACTCATAGTATTGTTGTGATGATTGAATGTGAATCCTTTTTAAAACATTAACACAATGCTTGACAAATGGCAGGGGCTCAAAAACACTAGCTCTATTACTGCTATAAATAAGTGATGAGGACAAGTAAACAAATCATTGCAAAATGTGTGAAAAGTGCAATAATAAACGATTGCTGTGGAGAGCATCCCTTCTTCCAACTCAGAAGCCTGAAGGACATCCTCGATTTCTCCCTCAGTGCTCCATATCCAAATTAGTCATCCAGTCATAGTCAACTTACCTTGCAAATATTTCTTAAAACTCTCTTCTTCCTCCCCATCAATAAGCCTTTATTGCCTCTTGCCCTGTATTCTTGCTACAGCTTTGAGGCTAAATGGCTCCCCTGCCTTTTCATTAGTGTTGCTCTCTCATCATCCACCCTTCATACTGTTTACAGATCATAGTAAGACAAGACTATATGCTTTAAGAATAAAGCTTTGATTGTAGTCATCTCTTTTGTCTCTTGTGATGGCATAATCCTTGGAAGAAAAAAGATAAAGAAGAAGCACAGAGAGGAAAGGAGGTAGGCACAAGGGAAAAGGAATAAGCAGGATAGAGAGAAGTTGGGCTTAAAGTCTCCTAAATATCAAGAAAGTAACATTTTTAAGTAGGAGAAGTAACAAGGTCAGCTCTGTGCTTTAGAGCATTCTCTGGCAACACAGTATAAAGGGTGGACTCCAAGGAGCAGAGACTGTAGCTAGGGAAGTACAGCTAGAAGGCTGTTCAGTAGACTGAGGTAGTGAGGGATTTTGAATTTGGTGGTGGCAGTGGATATGGTAATCAATTTAAATGTGAGGGAAAGAAAGGAAGTAAAGAGGAACCTTGAAACCCAAGTGATTAGGAGGTTGTTGATGACATTAATAATAGGGAATATAAAAGAAAAAGTAGCTTTAAAGAATTAAGGAAATGGTATTTTAATATGGATTTATTGAAATCAAGATCTTTTTGTGTGTGTGTGCCTCAGCAATATCTTTCTTATTCCTTGACACAGTATATATTTTAACAATTAAATAAATGTACATTGAATATTTCCACTGGAGATTATCATTTCTGTGTATACAACTAGTGTATTTTACATCAAATCTGTGAAGATGATTCTTCAGAATGGTTTGCATTTTGAAGACCTTCTATTGCTCTGCTTCTCAGATTATAAATCAGTCACATGCTGTGCTAACAAATTTGCCTCTAAATTCTTTACTCTTGACATTTGGAGTGGTCACTCACTGTTTGTCCACCGTGGACAAAAACCCATATTACCTACTGTGAACATGGATTCCCAGACTTTGTTTCAGAGTTATAAACTGTCTGCTGTCCTGCTTTGACTTCGAGTGTATGTTTAAAACGGAACTTTGCCACTAAACTGTCTTCATGATTCACTCTGTTAGTGTTGCTTTTCTGCCAGTCATTTCAGCTGAATCTGTTTGATCTGAATCACGTTTGACACTATGGTCTCTCCCCTTACATCCAGTTAGTTATTTCAGCTTCCTAAGCTCTCCGTCCTTCTTTGTTCCCTACTACCCCCCAGTTTAAGATGTCATCACTGTACACAAATGCTTTTGCAGTAACCTCCTTAAAAATCTCCTGTCTGCAGAGAGATTAATTTTCTTAAGATATTTTACCCTGTCTTGCCCTTTTTCAAGACATTTTTCCTAAAATACTTTGCAATATTATTTTGGTGCTTTCATTGGTCAACAAACAGATCCATGGGAATTTGTTGTACACAAGTTAGAAAAGCCTGAGAAGGAAGACACTGGGGAGACATTATGCTCTCATTCACTATATACTGAGTTTTTATTGTAGTAGCATTATAAAGCATGTGTTTATTTGAAAATACTTGAAATATATCTTTGATATATAATGATTCATTTGAAAGTATGCCTTTAGCTGTAATATAATTTTTCTTCTTCTATTTTTACAATCTTAAAATTTTTCTTTTTGTTTCTTTCAGAACAGGTGGGATTATTCCTCCAGTAGCCCAACAGCTTCACAGAGAAAATATTCAACGAATAGTGCAAGAAGCTCTTTGTGCCAGTCAGGTCCCTCCAAGTGAACTCTCGGCAATTGCAACCACCATAAAACCAGGGCTTGCTTTAAGCTTGGGAGTAGGCTTATCATTTAGCTTACAGTTGGCAGACCAGTTAAAAAAGCCCTTCATTCCAATCCATCATATGGAGGCTCATGCCCTTACCATTCGGTTAACCAATAATGTAGAATTTCCTTTTTTAGTTCTTTTGATCTCTGGAGGTCACTGTCTTTTGGCATTAGTTCAAGGAGTTTCAGATTTTTTGCTACTTGGAAAGTCTTTGGATATTGCACCAGGTGACATGCTTGACAAGGTAATGTATATTTAAATTAATTTCTCCACTCTTTTCTGTTATGGTGTGTGTATTTCAATTAAATAGTGATGGATGTACTACTATTCATCTATGTATTTCTAAATAATATTAAACTGAAAAATTTATGCTCAGTAAGAAAAAAATAAAAAGTCATAATTTTGTAAAAAGATTTTCTTACCCATTCCTAATGTTAGAAAGTTTACATCAATATACAAAAAGGCTCAAATAGTTTGCAATTGTAGGTATGTGATTAGTCATAATATGTGTGAAAGGGCTTTGTAAACTGTAAAGCACAAATGTAAAATAAGAGGATATATATAAAGGTTAACATAAGATGCCCAAAGTTCTGTGATTAAATCACATAATTCCTGTTATCACATGCAAGAAGATTCCTTTTTTCTTTATTTTAGAATAATACAAAGCCTATTGCCATATACCAAAAAAAAAAAAAACTGCTGCTAACAGTGGAAATTATTGGAAGAAAATATAGAACAGGTACACATTTTTAAACATCTTTAAGTAATCATTGTCAAATTAAACCTGTTTTCCAACCCTAACAGAAGGTCAAAAGTAGATTAGGTAGGCAGTGCAGTGGGATGCTGTTGTTCAGTTGTCAGGAGGAATAGGGTTGTCTGTCTTTACTGACCACCAGTAAAAGGATAGCATGTAATTATAATTACTGTATTGTAAAAGTCTAGCATGTTTTGTTCATCCAGGTTTTTTAGTAATATTTCATTTCCTTTGCATCTTTTGGTTTCAAAATGTACAATTTTGTGATTCATTAGAAAAATGTATGTTTTTGTTTTATAGGTAGCAAGAAGACTTTCTTTAATAAAACATCCAGAGTGCTCCACAATGAGTGGTGGGAAGGCTATAGAACATTTGGCTAAACAAGGAAATAAATTGTGTTTTGATCTCAAACCCCCCATGGATCGTGCTAAAAATTGTGATTTTTCTTTTACTGGACTTCAAAACATTGTTGACAAAATAATAATGCAAAAGGAAAAAGAGGAAGGTATGTTTCTAATTAGCAAAATTGGACCGATAAATCATCCTGGATCGTGCCTAAAAATACCTGCTTATTTTTGTAGGCATTGAGATGGGACAAATCCTGTCTTCAGCTGCAGACATTGCTGCTGCGGTACAGCACACAACAGCATGCCACATTGCGAAAAGAACACATCGTGCTATCCTGTTTTGCCAGCGGAAAGGCTTGTTATCTCAGACTAATGCAGTACTGGTGAGAGTTTGTCATCTCATTTTGTAGTAGTAATAAAAATTTTGTAGTATATTACTTCTCTTCCTAGAGTTTAATTGACACTCTGCATAGGATGAGCAGAGCTTTATGCCATGTGCTAGCCCTGACAGTGTGAAATTATGCAGAATAGAGAAGACTCACTAATGGCCATTTCTTCTGTAGGTATGATAGCTCATTGGCATATCTGTACAGCCTGTTGGGCAAAAAAAAAAGCCCAAGGCCCTGTCTTCTCATTGAATTTACAAGAGGGTTTGCAGTAAAGAAACCAAATGTAGTAACTACTATCACTGTTTTTAAACACAAGTTTATTCATGTTCCTTTGATGAAATCCTTTTAAATGTGCCTTGATAAACTTTCTGTATGACTAACTGTATCGTAAACTTTATCTTTAGAAAATTATAAATTAAAATGGGAAAATGTTTAAATGATGGTAGATTCACAAAGTGAAAAATTACATGAATATTAAACACAAATTTTTAAATATTATGTATTAAAAAATGCTTATAAGTAAAAAATATAAAGTCTAAATTATTGGCCTAGTATTTAGAAAAAGATTAGAAGAAAATGTACAAAAATGTTAATAGTGATTGTATGTTGATACTGAAATTGTTAATTATTTTCTTCTCCAAATTTATATCACTTGCCTCATTTCCTACTTATCAAAATGTGATATTTTCTTATTGTATCATGTTGATATTTTCCCTAGGTTTAGCTAACAGCTTGATTCATATCCATATGTGATAGTTGTTAATTTTAGCCTTCTAAATTCCTTAAGGTTGCATCTGGAGGTGTTGCAAGTAACCTGTATATCCGAAAAGCTCTGGAAATGGTAACAAATGTAACTCAGTGCACTTTGTTGTGCCCTCCTCCCAGACTGTGCACTGACAATGGCATTATGATTGCATGGTAAGCCATGGGATGTATGTGTTTCATTCATAATTATGTAAAAACTTGTTGCCATTTCATCATACTAAATTGCCTTCCTTTAAATCTTGGAGCTATTTATTTTATTTTAATAACTTTTATTTAGGAATGGCATTGAAAGATTACGTGCTGGCTTGGGCATTTTACACAACACGGAAGGCGTCCGCTATGAACCAAAGTACGTGATACTATTCATAATCTTTATGCAAGTTGCATCATACAAGTCAAAGCCTGTAATCTGCTTTTACATACGAGGACTTCATTGACATTCTGGTAGTACTTGAAGAAAAGTCACATTAATTTCATGAAAATCATTTCCTTTGTGTCAAGAATAAGATTTATCTTATGAGAAATACTTTTACTACAGTATCAAATTACAGAAGTTTTGACATATAATATGTTAGAAATAGGCTGTGGATATGGGTAATGAATTCCATCATTTGGGACTAGAATGGAAACCATGTCCAATGGACTTTTCCAGCGTCAGGATCTCAGGACCAGCTACTATGCTGGGAAACTTAAGGAAAATGTGCAAAAAACATTCTGGTGTGAAACTAGGTTGTGATTATGCTTCTCTACAAGCAGCTGAGAAATGGCCAAGAAAAAAATAGCTATTTTTTATAAAACCTTTTTCCTCTCCCAAATCAAAGTGCAAAATATAGCACATTTTTTCAATTTACCATTAAATTCTAGTCTAAGAGTTAATTCTGGGCTAGTAAAAGATGGTTATGTTTTGTACTCTAACATACCTCTGTTTTGAATATTGTTTCATCTGAAGTTTTAAAACTTGTAAGCCTTGTGGTCCATAACTAGATAGCTGTGGTACGTGAACCACAGATTTTTAAGGATGCTCATAAATGAGCATAGTAATGTTAGGAGGAATCTCTTACACTGACAGCCTAGGCTCACACAGATTATGTCATCTGATCCAGTTGTGTCGTCTTAAGGCAGGGTTGAGGCTAGAGATCATGGCTTTTTCTTGGTTGGGGTCACCCCAGGGCCTTATCTTGGGCAACAAAGAAAAGCAGAGGCTAAAATTATGTACTGAACAAACAGGGAGAAGCTAAGACCTCTCCTGTTAATAGTATCAAAGGAAGGTACAAAAAGGTTAAGCTAGCTTTTGAAAACTCAGAGTGGATTCATAGAAACCTGGATAATTTCTAAAATATGAATGGCCACAGGTTTGACTTTGGCTAGATGGTGAAATGTTTCTGCCCTTTTAATTTTGTTGAGACTTAAATGACTTAAATTTCATTTTCATTTTAAGTCTTTATTTATTTATAGTATTTGAAAGCAACAGAACTGTTTCTTTAAAAAATGTCTCAATATTTAGATTTCTTTTTAATAAGACTGGCCCATTTTCCTGACTTGAGATGCCACTGTATTTGTATACATTCAAGAACCATCACTACATATAATGAATTATACATTATATACTTATACTGTTGTCAGAGCCCTAAGCTAATATATTCTGCAGAACTGGTAATGTTCATGAAGCAAATATTTGAAATGATGTGATTTGTCTGATTATGATGCAGATGTCCTCTTGGAGTCGATATATCAAAAGAAGTTGGAAAAGCCGCCATAAAAGTGCCACAATTAAAAATGCAGATTTAACATTCACTTTACCAAAAAATCTCAAAAGGTAGGATTTCAGCATTAAAATTGTCTCCATTTTTTTGTATATTAAATTGTAGAAGACACATAATATTACCTATTCATCAGGGCTTTCTTTTGTTATTCCTTTTCTTATGTTTGATGCTTAAGTTGTTCTTCTGAGAGACTATATTAATATGTTACGATTTTGTAAAACAATATGATTTCTTTATTATAGAAAACCAAAGTAAAATACTTTGTGGATAAAAGAAATGTATTGATCTTGGCAAGTAGAAAGAAAAACCTTGGAAGAAACACAGTGATTCTGCTAAATCTTAGTTAGATCATGTTTTGGTTACCTAGTGCCACTCTGACAGGAATATACCACAAATGGGATGGCTTTAACAAACAGGAGTTTATTCTCTTACAGTTTGGAGGCTTTAAGTTTGAGTTCAAAGTACCAGGCTCTAGGGGCTGTGTGAAAGCCCCTCAATCTTGGGCTTCAGTTCTGCCTCCTGCTCCCAGCCCATTGAAGCTAGAGACATCTCTTCACTCAGGCAACTATTGGCTGCTAAGGCTAACAAGCCCAAAGTTGACAAATAAAATGGCACAGTCCCGATGTTACCAAACCACATGACAGGCCATTAATTGAAGTCCATTGAAAGTCCCAAGGTTGGCAGAGCATGCCAGGCTGCTGAACAATGACACAGCTACATGCAGGGTTCAAGCATGCCATAAGCTAGAGACCATTCCCAAAGCTTCTGCTTATATACAGGAAGGAGAACACATCCCTAAAACAGCTACTCAGCTGTTTGTGGTGGATCCCACCATGATTGTCAGTCTCATCATACGGAATAACTACCACCCGCTACCCAGCCACTCAACCAGGCCCAGAAAAGTTGACATACAACTTCAACTACCACAGATCATTTTCCCACTTTCTCAAAATCAGGATAGTAGAGACTGTTTTTTGACTCTTAGTGAAACATGAGCCTGACTTCTGTAATAAGTGGGCAATTTTAGAAAGGTAGCCAGGTCAAGATTATATCATATCAGAGAATTCTAAATCAAGACAAAAGATAATTTTCTTTAATAGAATGGATGTTGTTAATTTTAAAATGTTATTAATTGTCGTCTCTATAGTACAGGGGATAATATGTCAATATGTTTTCTAAGATCCTTCTAATTTGATATTTTTAAAAATTTGACATGCAAATAATGCCTCAAGTGTATATTGTACTCTTTAGTTGACTACCTACATTGTCATTACTTTTTTTAAAAAAAAATAATATGTAATCAGGTAAAAATAAATGAGTGAAAAATATTATTTTATTTTTTTACCCAAAACTTTCAATTGTTGAAATTAACAATTTATCGCATTTTTTCTGCTCAGATTAAAGCAATTTGGCTGTTCTGTCCTTTGAATATGAAGGTGATGTTACAGAGTGTTTATTGTCCTTTGAGAGGTTTACATTAAATTATGTACACTAGACCAAGTTGTTACCCTTCTAATCAGTGATTGCTTTGCTTTATTAGGAAACTAGGTATTGAGAGTAAAAATCTAGAGTGATAAGATTTCTTATTTTAATATATTGCCTAAGGTAATCTCCCTTTTGAGAAGTTCCATCAGTAATTCTCATTTTGGAATTGTGATCATAGAGAATTGCTTTATGATCATCCATTTTATATGAGAAATAGAAAATAAACTCTATATGAAGGAACATACAAAGATAGCCAGTATTTATAAAGCTTTGAATTCTTTTATATTTTAACAAATTTTGTATATGTGTGATAAAATTAGTTTGCAGATACCACATTTTACATATGGATTTGCATTCTGTATCATATGAATCTGAGTTCACAGAGAAGTGTAATTATTTCCTGGGACTGTTACAGTCAGAAACATATACTAGAAAGATGCTTACCTGTGTTTTATTGACTATGCGAAGACATTAGACTGTGTGGATCATAACAAATTATGAATAACATTGCAAAGAATGGGAATTCCAGAACACTTAATTGTGCTCACAAAGAACCTGTGCATAGACCAAGAGTCAGTCATTCATACAGAACAAAATGATACTGCATGGTTTAAAATCAGGAAAAGTGTTTGTCAGGGTTGTATCCTTTCACTATACTTATTCAGTCTGTATGCTGAGTCTATATTGCTATAACTAGGAGCTCTGGTAGCATAGTGGCTAAGGCACTTGACTGCTAACCAGAAGGCTGGCGGTTCAAACCCACCAGCCACTCCTCGGAAGGAAGGTTGGGCAATCCTACTTCCGTAGTGATACTGCCTCGGAAACCCAAGGAGGGGTCGCTATGAGTCAGGGCTGACTCGACGGCACCTAACAACAACAACATGCTGAGCAGTACTTCAAGAAGCTGGACTATATGAAGAAGGATGCAACATCAGGATTGGAGGAAGACTCATCAACAACCTGTAGATGAGACAGTCTTGAAGCACTTACTAATAAAGATCAAAGACTCCAGTCTTCAGTATGGGTTATACTTCAACCTAAAGAAAATAACAGTCCTCACAACTTAGCCAGTAAGCAACATCACAATAAATGGAGAAAAGATTGAAGTTGTCAAAGATTTAATTTTACTTGGATCCATAATAGGTACCGATGGAAGCAGAAGTCAAGAAATCAAATGATGTATTGCGTTTGGCAAGTCTGCTGCAAAAGACCTCTTTGAGGTGTTAAAAGGCAAAGAGGTCACTTTGAGGACTAAAGTGCACCTGACCCAAATCATGGTGTTTTCACTAGCCTCATATGCATGTGAAAACAGGGCAATGAATAAGGAAGACCGAGGAACTGATGCCTTTAAATTATGGTGTTGGTAAACAGTATTGAATATACTATGTACTGTCAGAAGAGTGAACAGGTTTGTCTTGGGAGAAGTACAGCCCCAGTACTTAGAAAATTGGATGGTGAAACTTTGTTTCATGTACTTGGACGTGTTATCAGGAGGGATCAGTTCTTAGAGAAGGACATCATGCTTGGTAAAGTAGAGGGTCAGTAAAAAGGTGGAGACTCTCTATGAGATGGATTGATGTAGTGGCTACAACAGTGGGCTTAAGCAAAGCAACAACTGTGAGGACGCCACAGGACTAGTCAGTATCTCATTCTCCTACACATGGGGTCGCTATGAGTCAGATCTAACAGGACAGCACCTAACAAGAACAACAACATTAAAATTAAAGGCCGTATAAACTATGAAAGAAAAGTTTATCCCATCACAAATATGAAGTAGGAATATCTATACTCTAAATTCTTAAAATTTCAAAATATAAAAATTATACCGTACTGTAAGCACAAATAGCAAAATTGAGTTCTTGATACAAATAACAGAAACTACAGGTGTAAAGGAAATGGACCAACTCTGGAAGCCTTCCGATCTTTAGACTTTTCAGTAGCTGGCCACAGGGAAAGGAAGGGAAGAAAAAGAAGTAAAGTCAAGTAAGAGAGAAATAAGGAAATGAAAAGGGAGAGAGAAATACTGAACTCTGTATTGGCAATCATATGTGCCGAAATGAGCTGTAGTCCCTCTAATGCAGGCAAATTGCTGAGACCCTCTATAATTTGTCCTTTCTCATCTAACATCAAGAGAAGATGGCAGGAATACACAGAGTCACTGTACCAAAAAGAACTGATCGATCTTCATCCATTTCAGGAAGTGGCATATGATCTAGAACCAATGGTAATGAAGGAAGAAGTCAAAGCTGCAACGAAAGAACTGGTGAAGAACAAGGCTCCGGGAATTGATGGCATACCGATTGAGATATTTCAACAAACAGATGCCCCATTGGAGGCACTCACTCAGTTATGCCAAGAGATTTGGAGGACAGCTACCTGGACAACTGACTGGAAGAGATCCATATTTGTGCCCATTCCAAAGAAAGGTGATCCCACAGAATGTAGAAATTATAGAACAATATCACTAATATCACATGCAAGTAAGATATTACTGAAGATAATTCAGAAACGTTTGCAGCAGTATATTGACAGAGAACTTCCAGAGGTTCAAGCCGGATTCAGAAGAGGACGTGGAACAAGGGATATCATAGCTGTTGTCAGATGGATCTTGGCTCAAGGCAAAGAATACCAGAAAGATGTTTATTTGTGTTTTATTGACTATGCAAAGGCATTTGATTGTGTGGATCATGACAAATTATGGATAACATTGAGAAGAATGGGAATCCCTGAGCACTTGATTGTACTCATGAGGAATCTGTACCTTGACCAGGAGGCTGTCGTTCAAACAGAACAAGGGGACACTACATGGTTTAAAATCAAGAAGGGAGTGCGTCAGGGTTGTATTCTTTCTCCACACTTATTCAATCTATATGCTGAGCAAATAATCCGAGAAGCTGGACTATATGAAGAAAAACGTGGTATCAGGATTGGAGGAAGAATCATTAACAACCTGAGATATGCAGACGATACAACTTTGCTTGCTGAAAGTGAGGATGACTTAAGGCACCTACTGATGAAGGTTAAAGAATACAGTCTGCAGTATGGATTACATCTCAACATAAAGAAAACAAAAATCCTCACAACTGGACCAATGAGCAGCATCACAATCAATGGAGAGAAGATTGAGGTTGTCAAGGAATTCACATTGCTTGGTTCTACAATCGATGCCAACGGAAGCAGCAGTCAGGACATTAGACGACGTGTAGCATTGGGAAAGTCAACTGCGAAGGAACTGTTTCAAGTGCTGAGGAGCAAGGATATCTCCTTGAGGACTAAGGTGCGCCTGACACAAGCCATGATATTTCCAATCACCTTGTATGCATGTGAGAGCTGGACAATGAATAGGGAAGACCGAAGAAGAGTTGATGCTTTTGAGTTGTGGTGCTGGCGAAGAATGCTGAAAGTACCGTGGACTGCTAAAAGAACTAACAGATCTGTCCTGGAGGAAGTGCAGCCAGAATGCTCCTTGGAAGCAAGAATGGCCAGACTTCGTCTCACCTAATTTGGTCATGTTGTAAGAAGGGACCATTCCCTGGAGAAGGATGTCATGCTTGGTAGGGTGGAGGGT